TCAATATAATAATAAATATCTTATCTCATAAATATAAGAATATTTTACAATTCTTCCTCTCAAATGACAATAACAGCTCGGCATCACTGCTACATACGAGACTTCTCCAGTTACAACAAGCACGGTTGGTGCTCCCTTAACTTAATCAATCCACCAAGGCCTCGAATTGCAGCTTTTGCTAAAGCATCGTCATCTATTCTTATGACACTATCAATATTTTACAATTTCTAAAAAATTTATTTTTGGATAAAACCGAATCTAATCCAAAACTATTTGTTTTTATATGTCAAATCCAAAAATTTTTCTGCTTACGGTTACCTTTATGTTGAACCCTCAATCAGTATCTAGGTTCAATTGCATTTCTAAGTAACTTGTTATGCTGAGTAAGCATGAGTTAAATAAAAGATATTCTAAACCGTTGTTTAATTTAATATTTAAGTTTGATCTCGAAATAAAAAACAAATAATTATTTCATATTATTTCCGGGTAACTTGCAATAATTAATTTCTCTTGTTTATCGTCATTTGAATAAAAATGATTGCTCTTATTTAAATGAAGAAGACAGATTTAAATCTGTTTTAGGATTCGAAATAAATAAATTAATGTTATTACTGTTAATGATAACATCAGGAAATTATCTTTTAAATAATTAAGTTAATTAATAAAACTAAATAAAAACAGTTGCTACTTTAAATTTGTTGTCAATTTTTAGTATCTAATTAATCAAAAAAATTTTCCTAAAGCGCAGATATTAATTAAAAACTGATTTATGATAATAAAAAATGGTAATTCGAAAATTTTTGTCATCAACACTTAATTTATAAATAAGATCTATTCATTCGTTAAATTTAAACAAAATGTTAAAAATTTTGTGTCAACTTATACCAACCATCATTCCATTTCTTTGTAAAGGATTTTTTTTTCTTTTGGTGAGCACGTGCAATACTTTAGTACCGTTAAACCGACCGCCGACGGAATGATAGTATACGGACTAAAACACTCCTCTTTGGAGAGACTTATATCCACCTGGAACCGCTTTTGCATTACTACGGAAAAGGTCTCTTTTATATTGGCGTTTAAAGTCATGCTCTTTTGATTTTTGATCTGTGTCCAGAGCTCCACTTTTTCACCGCATTTTTAGATATCTGGTCTATTTATTACACTAGTTTCTGCTTCTCCTTACTAGTTCTAATTTCTTTGCTTTGAGGACTTGAATCATATATGACTCTATCATTCACCAGTTCTCTTAGTTTGCTCTCATATTTTTCATATGTTCTTGGGATTTACTGGTCCAATCCGGACTATTATTTCTGTTTTAAGTGTGAGCCACCTATTACAGTAAAAGGTCTGCTTTGCATTATCACAGTCTCCGTCGTCTGTCCCATGCTGTAAAGTGGTAAGAATTTTCTTTTTAAAAACAATTTCTTTTAAGTTTTTAGAAATCATTAAAACTTGTAATTTGAACTAATGACGTAAATGTTTCGGTTACCAACCACCAGCTCGAATTTTTTCGATTATATAAAATTTTTTATCCGAAAGTCAATGGACGCTATTTTTGCTATATATGCACACAAATAATAAATATGTTTACGGAACAAATACATGTTTCGTATATAATTTTTTCCGTTGGTTTGACAAATTACACGACGACCGTAAGGACCTAGAAGATAACAATCGAGCAACGCCACCAAAAATCACTTATAATGAAGACAACATAAACATATTTATTCAAAACATTAGCTATATGTCTGCAAAACACATTAAAGGGGAAACAGAGTTACCAAAAAGCAGCATCTATCAAATTTCGATTGAAGATTTGAAATGTCCGACTTTGACGGAGTCCCAAAAGACATACTAAAAATATACCGAAGAGTTGAAGAATGTCCATAAAACTGGTGTTAAAAAGTTGTTTTTTTTTTCTACAATGTGTATCTTGCGTAAAAATATAGCAAATCAATAAAAAAAGTTGATTTCGACAGTGCAGATCAAAACACATTTTAAGCTATTAGTGCAATGACGTGATCTATGACCCAAAAAGAACTTAGCAAATATTTATGCTTGCCAGCGGATCGATATTCCATTCAATCGCCTTACTCGTATCAGTACTGTCTCGTTGGTAGGCACGCCCGATTAGGTTCTTACTTCAATCCAACGATTATATGTCGTAGTTGTGGATCAAAAGAAGATGAAAATGTTGCCCATTTACTCTATCACATTTGAAGCTAATGTTAATACTGAAGTACATTTTTTCTATAAAAAAGCGCCGCTGTTTCAACACACAAAGTTCAGATTTTTACTAGCACTACTATAGTTTGTTAAACAACTTCTTGCCACTTTTCAAGATCCGCCATCTATATGTCATCCTACGTTCTTATTAAGTGTCTGAACTAGTAACAAATACAAAATATTATAATTTAAATAGTTTTTATTATATTAAATGTATTTTTCAGTTTTATTAACTAACATCTTCGTTAATTTATGAAAATTACTGGTTGCACGTATACTACAACACTAGTTCATTAGACTAATTAAGATACTTTAGCTTCTATATCAGTTGCTTTAATTATTCGAAGAAATGAAGAAATGCAAAATGTATTCTTACAAAAAATATTTTAAATGATTTTAATTAATTAATTAATTTATAGTTTAGTTCAAAATAGTGCAGCCTTTATTGCACTTCGCAATAAAAGCAAATTGTTGAGATGCATTCACAAAAAAAATTTAGGAATTTATAATGCAAAATGAATTTGTAAATAGCAATATTTTTTCTGTTTTATAATTACGAGAAATAATGTAAAAATTTTTCATTTTTTTATATTTTAAAGCAAATAAAAACAATTACTTTTAGTTATTTTTAATCGCTATTTAAGTTCATTATTTATATTCAAATGCTCTATTGAAATCAAAATGGTTTATAATAAATACTAATTATTTTAATAACTTAGATAAACAACCCATCAGTAGTTGAGATATCATTGCTTCAAACAATTTTTTTTTATCGTAGACAGTAATGATCGTTAGATTACAGTTTTATAACGAGTGCCTAAATAACATTATCAGGGTTAAAGCCGTTATAGAGGGAATTCAGAGAACGAACTAGAGACAGTCCATTACTGTTCATATAAGAAAAGGATGTATATATAATTAAAATTTTTAGCTCTTCACATGTCAAATTATTTTAATACTATATTCTGAAAGCAATGTATTTTTAAACACTGTTTGTAAGCAACGACACACTTTTCAGCCACCATGCCAAGGATGTGACACCTATTGAAATAAATTAATCTCGCCGTTGGAACCTGTCTTAACTATCATAAGACATGTATCAAAATTTAAAAATTCTTCGACAATTTGTTGACAAGTTACAGTAGCTTTTAAAATAAAGTTTTTTAATATATTTACAATGAAAATGACGAACATTGCCTTTGGCTAAGAAATATTTTCGTTATAGCTACATATGGTCTATTTTTATAACCAGAGTGCCTCTGGAATATCATCATTTTTTTTAATACTTAATTAAAACTTAATTTTATTAATACCATTGCCGATCTAGCGTTCTAACAATCGGAAGGTTATGTCATATGTTCATACAAATAGATCATAACCTAGGTTTAATCATTCTAGGTCAAAGATCATATTCCTAACAACTGTAAAATCAATCAATTCAGCAAAACTAAAATACTACTTTCCAGTACATTAATAATATTAGAAGTAAGAATTTTTTAAGCTTCATTCAAGCTAAGCAATTGCTTATGCTTGCTCGTCACTCGATACCCAATAGAACCGCTGTACTGATGAGACACTGTTTCATTGGTATTAACGTCAATTGCTTAGAGACTTCCTCCAGCGATTACTGTTGTAGTTGCGGATCAGAGAAAGAATAGGAAAATGTTACATATTTGCTCTAAACTGCCCGGTACTCGCCAGAAAGCGCACATTCACAGTGGAGGGTCTCCCTTTCTAAAATGTTTGTCTGATATCACTAGTATAGGCATTAACGACTTTGCCTGTTTTATTCCAGCGACAAATAATTATATTACAGAAAAAGGATATTCGATTTATTTTTATTTATTGGAACTATTAGTATTAGTATTGGACCTCTCAACAACAAGTATGAGAGTGCATTTTATTGTTATCCAGAAAAATGTATCTCCTACATTTTCATATGAAAAACTTGCTGTGTAGTTCCACAATCACTAATATGTATGTTACTGTTCTACTACTGGTAATACCTAACTATGGTAAAATATTATTCTATAAAATATACGATATTCTATAAAATCTCGTCGTGGTATCAAAATTAATGTAACTGTAGTTATGCACAGAAAACAAACCACGTTACGCGGATAATGATGACAGCAAAAACGACATGGTCTTTCTAAATATGTTTTATACTTTTTGTAAAAGTTCAATTAAATATGAAAAAAAATGAATATATAATTCATAAAAAAATCGTGCTAATTAAAATAATTAAATTAAAATAAAATATTTTTTCTTAATGAGAAACCAAACAAAAAATAAAAATATATATAATTAGTTATATAAAACTAATAACCTATTGACATTATAAAATTATTTAAATTCTGTATTAAATTAACATTTTTTAAAATGACTTGTACGACTACTAATTTCTTGTTTTCTCGCTTTTATTTTTTTATATATTTAAACATTAAATCATTCGGTGCGTTGTGTTCTTCCACGGTTGCTTATCTCTAAAAAATGTACAACACAACTATGCAACTACGATACTCTATCTAAAAATCTATGCTTGTGCTGCGCCATCTTATCAACACGCTGTTGGTGACGACGATATCGGTGGTATCCACGAACGCACCACACTGTACCGCATCAACCTGTTGGATTCTTTTCGACGTTTGATCTTGTGGCCTCGTTATTGTATTACTCGTCTGTGTCAACTATTGCTCATATCTTTATCAACACAACACCCGCCTACTACATATATAAACTTTATACGATATGTGTTCTTTTGTCACGCATAGATAACAATTTCATCAGATTAGCAAACCATTCAAAATGGCAAATCCGCGCAAATTTAGTGAAAAAATTGCACTACAAAAACAGAAGCAAGCCGAGGGCACTGCAGAGTTTGAAAAAATTATGAAAGAAGTTTATGCGACGAAAAAGGATGAAACACAAGGTAATCAAAGGATACAAGAATGTTTGCCGAATTCAGATGTTATTAACAATTCAGTGAGTACGGGAGGTGGAAGCGGTGGGAGTGGTGGTGGTGGTGGTGCATCACCAGAAGGTAAAGCAGGTGGAGGAAGTGGCGGTTCACCGACTGCCTGTCGAGAATCTCGAGGGCGAAGTGTTGGTGTTGGTCCCATGAGACGTCCATCGGAACGCATAGATCGTTCACCATATGGCAGTAATACTAATACTAGTAATATTGGTAATGCTGTGGGCATGGGTGGCATGAGTAATAATGTCAATATCGCATATTTAAGTCCGCCAAATGATACAAATTGGCGACGTTCGAACTCAGACTCAGCATTACATCAAAGTTTAAACATAGCCGTAGCGGCAGAAGTCGGTTTTGGATCAAGTGGAGTAACTGGTATTGGTGGTTTGCCTACAGATTTAGGCACCCTACATGCGAGTTATAATCACAACCAACGATCTCATTCGCCAAACATTGGTCGTAGTCTCAGTCCACAAGCACAAAGAAGAAAAGCCCACATGATGCATCAACAGCAACAGCAATTACATCACCAACAACAACAGCAAATGCATATGCAACATGCAGCACATGCACACCATCAGCAACAACATCAACCACAGCTGCAACAACATATGCAACAAACACAACAATTACATCAACAACAGCATCATACGCAACAACAGCATCATCAACAACAACATCATCAGCAGCAACAATTCAATGCCAAATATTCCAACTGCAATATGCCGGCCAATAGTCTGTTTAAGTCACTGCAAGAGCAAATGGCATTCGCTAACACAGGCTCTCTACCTGATTTAACATCCGTACATTATCCTACAACAGCACAACAACCACTTATCCAGCAACAGCAGCAACACACGAATCAGCAACAAATTTTATCGCCTATACTGTCGCCGCACAACAACGGACGTGAACGGGATCAATCACCGAGTCCATTTAATTCTACAAATGTTGGGCCACCATCGCCATATAATCAACAGCAACATTCTCCTACCTCTGCAGCAAATACGCCTACAGCCGCACAAACATCGCCACATTTGTCGTTTACTAATTTATCAGTGCAGTCACCGACGGGTGTACAAAATTCCGCACAAACTGGTTCTTTCACTCATTTGCCAACATTGGGTGCTGCCAGCTCTACCGGTAATCTAACAGATTATCGACAACCATTGAACCCACCTAGTCCGGGCTCTTCTCCAGGACTATTGACATCGGTGTCGGGAAATGAACTGCATACAAGCGCACCAGCAAGTCCAATAAGGCATGTCCATACCAACGTGCAACAGAGTATGCAAGGCTATAGTGATAAAAACATTCAAACTTTCGACCGATACTCGCCAGTCATAATTTCCAGCAATGCAGATACTAATTCAGGTAACCTTTCCTTTCATAATAACTTTGAGCAGTTCTCACTTGGTGATAGCAGCTCATCACCTGAACAACAGCAACATCTGCAACAGCACTTTCAACATCAGCAAAACAATTATATTACTTTAGAATTCGAAGACTTCATTAGCAGTGGCAATAGCCAACAGCAATCTTATCCCCAAAATAAAATATTAGACTTTGACGATTTAACTGGCGCCGGACTTATTAGTAGAAATACAGTAACAGATAGTAACAATAGCAACACTAATGGTAACAGAAGTACAACTGCGACGTGTAACAACAACAATATACAACAACAACAAAATGGTCGAAATATACGTCAGCAGCAACAACAGCAACAGCAATTACTAAACAATAACAGTACAACAAGCACAAATACCATTGGTCCGTGTCGTCCACTTAATAATAATACAAATTTAACGCAGCATAATGATGGATCATCTGTGTTAGGACAAGATATACATACCTCGCCAATACCATCACCTTTGAACTGCTTACCTTCGGCATCATCACCTTTACCTATTCCAATGCCTTCACAATCACCACATCATAATCATCAGCATCAACTTTCCTTATCGCTGCAAACACATTCAGCGCAGCATTCACCGCACCATTCACCAGCACATTCACCACATCACTCATCACCCATATCCGCTTTCTCACCTGTCATATCGACACTTCCCGGAGTATCAGTACCTGCGTCTGCGAATACAGTCGGTGTTAATATGCCGACACATCACAACCAGCAGCAACACCACCAGCAACAGCAACAAAATCAACAACAACAACACCAACAACAAAGTCATGGAAATACGCCAACAACTGCAAACATACCGTCGATAATATTTTCAGACTATTCGTCAAATCCAGATGATCCACGCTGTATGTTGGATTCGCTCGATTTAGTTTTGGACGCAACAGAACTGCAATTACTAGCCGATCAGAATGAGGACCTCGATCACAGTATGGAGGATAATTTTCGAAGAGATCTTAACTGATACTACGAGGAAGCTGTTGCAGCAATTGAAAGCGGTATATTACTCGAAGACACATTCGATCCACTCGGTCATTTGGTTGATGTTAACGAAGTATTGGGCGACCCACTTGGTTCACTAGATGCACTAGTCGACACAAAGGGAGATACTCAGGATAACGAAACTGCAGATAACGATAACACGCCAAAAAATGTAGATGAAGAACACGATGACAACTATGCATGTAATGTCCATGATGACGATGATGAATTGCAGAGTCTGTTCTTCTAAACTCGTGCCGAATTAAATTGTTATACAGAGTATAACAGTTAAACAAATTGAAACACAAATCGCATAGAATACCCGGAAATTCTATGCACAATGCACACTTATAGCCGCATTCGTCTTAAAAAATCGCAACAGCTTTATAAATCTCTTAATTTACGATTGATTATGAGTAGTACATAAAGTTAGATAGATAGTCCTTAAAAGAAAGTATAAAAGATTAAAGAAAAAAAAAACTCCAAAAAACTTAAAAATATTTTGTGAATTTGAGTGTTTGTGTTGTGTTGTACTAATTGAGTTTTGTTTTTAAAAATGTAAATAATTTTAATATTTAAGAAATATTAAAAGAGATATATGTATATGTAAATTTTATTTATAACAAAAATATAACTTAAAAAAAGTCATTTTTAAAAAAATGTAAACAAAAAAATTTAAGTGTCTTAGACCTGCGACCAATTTTCTGCTGAATTTAAGCCAATTATATTTGTATTTTATTTTTATTTGAATAAAATATAGAGAGGGAATATACAAATAATGTACAACAGACATTATTAAAATCCTAATATGCAGTAATATGCCTTTAGGTACTTTTACAGATCTTTATTGTTAGAAAGTTGAAATGATTATAGAACCCAGCTAACAATTGAGTATTAGACTAAATTCGTAAATATTTTCGGTGAATCGTGATATACCAATTTAAGGAAGAAGACTATTAAAACACTTTATTTACATTTACTGATCTTTTCAAAAATACTGTGGTATATATTTTTCATAATTGCATATTTTGGAATATAAAATCTTTAAAATTATAATATAGTTTCATAAATAAAAACAATGTGTTATATTTGTCAGTGTTACAGGCTTTCATTTTAAAATGCAGAGTGTCAAATTAAATGATAAACCATTAATAAAATAAATTAGAAGAATATATTTCATTATTATTTAATATATTTTTTTATTTTCAATAAAAGCTAAATGGAAGAAAATGTAAAATACTTAATTCTAATTTTTGACAAAAAAATACACTAATGGCATATTCGATTGGTAAATCTAGATTCAATCTTAATTTACTCTCGATCTGTCAAATTTTTTTGGCCAAACGAACAATTTTAGAGTAATCTAACATTTTTATAGTCGTGTTGGTATAAATTTATATTTTTCACAAATACATCAAATCATAATTTATCTGTCAAATTATATAAAACAGTTGTTAATCTCAGAATAATCTTATAACTCTGGCAAAATATCTAGAGTGTTATAAATTAAGCTCGAGTGTTATATATTTTGCCCCAGATTTATCAATTAAAAATGAAAATTACATTAAAAGTGCATTAATAGAGCATCTTGGTTAAAAAAATTATCCCAGTTTTACCAATCGAAAACGCCATTAGTTAAGGAACATAAGGGTCAAACAATTGGCTTGCAATATAAGTCTGAATGCCTTATACTATTAAAATACGCTCAAACTGCTATTCACTATTAGCAGAATTGAAATATATTAGAATATTAATTCAAGACATATGCGCCATGGTATATCAGAAATAAAAACATACGCAAATGTCTAAGAATCGAAAGCGTTGGAAACTATCTCAAAGACAGAGCCCTGACATTTATTGTGTGTGCATTTGTGTTAACAACGCATTAAACACTTTTAAAAGAAGTCTATATATATCTATATACCGTCTATATTATCTATATATCTATATAAATGTCTCAATATCCTATTTTAATGGAAAACATATTACAGTGGATCACCCTAATGAGCATAGGGCATTACTAAGCAACAGTGATTTAGACACTAATTAAATTTTCAACACCAGAAGAGAGATAAATTGAGAACAAAAAAAAATTTAGTTATTAATTAGGAAAGCATAATATTTTTAAAATATTTTTTATAATAAACTCCTCTCCTTTTATCAGTGATTCGGCAATAATTATCTTCAATTTTTTTTTTGTTTTTTATTATTTTATTTTTTTATTTTATGTTTTTTATTTTTTTTTTATTTATTTTTTTTTATTGTATTTTATTTATTTTCTTTTTATTTTTTTTTTTTATTTTTTTTTATTTTTATTTTATTTTTTTATTTTATTTTTTTTGTTTTTAATGCTTTTTTATTTTTTGTTTATTTTATTTGTTTTTCTTATTTATTCTATTTTCTTTTCTTGTTTATTTTATTTTTTTTCTTGTTTATTTTATGTTTTTTTTTTATTTTTTTTTTAAATTTTTCTATTATTTTTTTTTTTCAAATGGGAATAGGGAATAAATCCCTTTTACACTAATCTATTGAATGTAGACTTATTGAATATATAAAATGAATTTTTTTCAAAGAATTTTCTAACACTTGGTCTGGCCTTGTTATGCGTGAAGATATTACAAATTGCATAAGTAACTCAATTAGCGACAAACTCAATTCACTCAGAATAACATAATTCGTATATTAATATTATTTTTTATTTTAATATATCTCCTATGTTTTGTAAAAGCAATTATTAGTGATTAAGCTCAAACAAAAAAGGAATTTTTATTGAAATTTTAAAATATATATTTTATTCTCCTTTTTTTTAAATAAGATATTTAAATGTAAAACCAAAAATTTAAGAAAATTTCTTATATGTCTAATTTTTTTTATAATAATAATAATAATTATAAATAAAATATATATATTAATTAATACTAATTTTCAAAGCTACTTAATTAATATACCAATGTATAAAGAAAAACCGCTGGCCTCGACATAGTTGACTGTTATATAAAGGTTTAAACTTAAATTTTAGAACCGATTTCAAAAGCGAACCGAACGATTTGCAGCAGGAAACTTTGCAATCTAATAAAATATTAGAATCATTAAAATTTATAAACCAAACAAAAAAATAAATAAAAATATTTTAAAATCAAAACATATTGAAAATAAAAGTAAAACTTATGTTTTCATTTATAAATGTATACAAATTAAAAACTATATAAATTATATACACACATATTGAATATGAAATATTTAAGTCTCTATCAAAGATAATGCGTTAAAATGAAATTTACTTATATCTACAACTCTCCGATTTTACAGCTTTTTCGATACTTGTCAAGTCCTAAGGAATTTAACTTACTTAATGTTATAAATAAATCAAAAAATAAAAAACAAAGCTTTATTTGCAACTGAATATAATATATATACGTATATATATATATGTACATATATATATATATATATCTATATTTATATAAAAGGAATATATAGAAATATTAAATTCAGATAACCCATATAATATAAAACACAGCAGCAACAAAGAATATAATAACTATAGATAAATTAATTATATACATTAAAGCATGTTAATTAAATTTATTAAATATCTAAATTTTTAAAATTTTTTTTTTTTTAAATAATATTAAAAAATTTTGATGTACCTAGAAATAATTTTTAAAAGAAATTTATTATATAAATATATACATTAAAAACAAATTTTGCGATGTTTATATGTTAGTTAAGATATATGCAACAAATATATATATACATGTGCAATATATGTACATATATGTATGTTTATTTGCTTCAAATATGTATGTAACTTGCATGCATATATCTATTCTTTACATAAAATGTAATATATATTTAAAAAACTTTAAATTATGAGTGTAAAATGTAATAACACAGTTATTTGTTTCAAATAAAATCTTTAATTATATTTCAAAAATAAAATTAATATCTTTAATTATGATTTTCAAATATAGTTGGATTCTCCTGATGAATGTAAAAGCGAATTTACTGAAATACGTATAGATATATACAAAAAATAACGACAGAAATAGGAGATAAAATTCATTAAAATATGAAACCGAGTTTATATTTAGATTAGATTAGGTTCTTTTTATTTAGGTGGTTATTTTTATTAAGATCACTAATGAGGGTAATTTACCATACAAACAAATTTCATATAAATAAGTTCATTATAAATAAATCAACTGATTTAAGGCAAAAAATATCGAATGCAACCCTTAAAAATTAGATTTCCTCTAAGGGAAATTTCAACAATTTGAAATATTGGTTTTATGTTTTACATGTAAAATCTAAACAAAGAAACTATTTCACATTTATAAATCAACTTATGCCAATAAAAACGACCAAATCTTAATATAATTAATATGAGTAGCTTTAGCTGTACTGAAAACATGACATTATTCAAAATAAATTTAAAAAAATACCCGAAAAGTTTGTCGGTCGAATTATGATTTACAAATATATCACAGTATCTAATATTTTGTCTAAGAAAAATAATATTCATATTAAATTGACTTAGTACCATACCAGGCAACAAAATTTTAGTGCTACTCAAGAATAATTACATACTATAAACAAGTCCAGTAAATAAGTTCACTTTACCAGAATTTATCAACCGCTAGTCCGCACCATTAACATCACCAAACTAAAAAATATTGTATCGTCGCCCTAAGCAATATTGTTTTTTTGAAAGATATTGGTTCCGATCCTTATAAAACACACAAAATTTTATGGATACCTATAAAACGCAATCAGCATTTTACCCGATCCACAGTACGTTTTGGATTGGGAAAAATTTTCTTTTAAACAATTTTTATGTGATTGATTGTAATGTGTCCAAAAAGAAGACACCATCCTTTTAATTATTATTACATATTATATTATAATATTAACATAATTTTGTTTTAGACTTTAGTGTACTTATTATAGGCGTCTCTCATTTATTTCACATCCAAGAAATTAAATTCACTGATTTTAATGTAAATCAATATAATGTACAAGGTCTCGTACAGTTAAAATATTTGGAAACTCACATATATACAAAACATTTCTTAATAGATTACTGTTTAAAACTGTCGTTAATATTGTTATGGCACTGCTAAGAGTAGTTTCTTTAGTTCTTGGAGAACGAACGAGGCAGAAAAGCAATAACAGCATTATAATATTAACACAGACTAGAGAGAAAGAGAGAGAGAGTAGTAATTTCAAGAAACTGTTAATGTAATTGGTACAATACAGAATTTGAAGAAAAGGGACGACAATAATGTCAAACGTAAATAATCGTTCCCAAGAACAATCGCAATGGCATCCACAGTTCCAAGAAGTTCAATCAGCTTAACTTTTACAATTGTCGCAAAATTGTTTTACAAACTGCATTTAGTACTAAGCGGGGCTTAAGTGTACTGGATATTGCTGGTAATTGTCTTATCCCAAATACTCGATTAAGCAACAGTAGCTAGCTACAGTACCTAGAAATGTCATAAA